TTGTGTGGCAACCTAAGGGCTTCTACCCTCCATCAGAAAGCACTCAGTGCAGAGATGCTCCAGCTCTAGTTTTGGAAGACCCAAACCAATAAGCTCCCATGGCAGGGTGAATTTGTCAGCTGAGAACTTGCCAGCAAAYAAGCACTGTGGTATGCCAGCCTGGCTGTGCTACAGCCAGGTACAAGCTGGTGCAAGTCTCCTCAACTCCCAAGTACACGGTTATCATAAACATGTAGACCACTCGTCTCATTTCAAGAGCTATACAAAGCCAGCAATGTTACAACTTGTTTTACGTTTCAGATTATGTACTTCCCAATGTACAGGAAAGCAGTGCAGCTAGATGGAAAGAAAACTAAGACTTCAAATATGCTAATTTATTCRCAAGTAAGTTTGTAATGGAGCATGACAGAGCATACACTAGGTATGAACTGTGCTTGCTGTTCCACAACATCCAGGATCACCAATTATCACCTGCTTTATTACTCTGCATATTACAGACACATGATGTGACATTCAAGATCASAGAGCTTAGATCAAAAGAAGTCAGTTTTAAGTCATATGGCACAGCTGTAAATACAAGCTATTTAAATGGTATGCAGGCAATGTTTAGATTTGAGATTCCTTGTGCTGCTGGTCTCACGCCTGACTTATCTGATGGCCTGCAATAGCTGTCCTGTCTCTTGAGATTATTTTCCATATATTTTGAAGGGTAACTATGCGATAAGTACGTCYCAAAAGACAAATGTCAGCTTCCTGAAACTGTTGTTAGTGATGTCACTTGCACACCTGCCTTCCATAAATTGTTATCTGGTGGATGCCTGTTGGGAGYGTATCAAGGAACAATGTCTTGGAGTAATGTGGCAAAAATAGATATAGACTTTAAGGATAAGAAAATAAGGCCGTATTTATATGCAATGTAATCTATTACACCATTCTTCTGAATGAAGCCTATCGCTTTCCTTCAAAATACTGCAGAAACAGAAAACATTTTAAAACCTCTGAAATGTGTCGTATTAAAATACATCCTTGGTGATATGAGATAGGAAGTAATACACACTTGCAGAATTTTAGGAGAGCAACACACAAAAATATGCATCTGAAGCTGTCAATTACCCCATGAGAGCCAGGTGGATACAGCACCTGTATCAACTGCCAATTATCTCTTCAGTGTTTCCGAGGCACAAACCTCATTAGGCGGTGCACAGGCACATTTCACAATGATCMCTTGCTTTTTAGAGCACACTGCTAACATAAACAATCTCTCTTCCCTATGGGTTGTTCTGGTAGACAAGTTTCTTATCTCATGCTTAAATCCAGGCAAGCAAATGCAGCATACAAACTCCATTAGGGCAGATTTAAGCTGACAGACGAAATGTAGATTATTTTTAGCACTATTAAACCGGTCTCCGTTAGAGTGAAGGGTAATGGAAAGCAAAACATACCCATAGCAGTTAACACAAAGTGCTGTACCGATACTCTAGGCAAAAATGTAAATATAGCCCAGAGTCACAGAAAAGACATGCCATAGTTATTGTGTCTAATGAAATTTATCTGTAATAATGCTGTTAGCAAAATGTTCTCATAACCAGGTTGTGGCCAGCTCTGTGCTGGACAGGGCAAAGAGAAATGCAAAAAATGCCCAAATCTAACACTTCAGAATGGCTGTAGCTGTCCTAAGGCTGTGTTTCCTACTGTGTAGGTCTGCATAGTTTTATTTATTATTCTACTCTACTGCCTACTACAAACAGTATCTTCCTTTGTTTCAAAGACCATTTTGCACATACAAAGCATATCTAGCCTCTGAAATAATTGTGCAATTTGGTTAAAGAAAATCTTAAGATTATTTGATGAATCTTACCCTACAYAGTTTAACAGTATGTATGAGAGTTAAGTAGGTATATCCCTTGACAMACATAGGCAGCTGACAAGTAAATTCCTGTGCAATCAGCCACATATATCTGGAAAGTTTTATGCYCCAAAATAACTGGACACGAACTCATGCTCTGTATACCTCCAGGTGTTAGTGGAATAGATATGGTATTCAAACTTCTCAACTATCTCTGGTTATCATAGTAGTGATGAATATACATGTGATTTCTAAGCTTCCCATTCATTGGTTGAGTCCAGGAGTTTGTTCTTTGTCTTATATTCTGACTTTAAAAATAAATTATCTGTTCAGAGGCATCATGAACACAAGAACATTTTGGGGGTATACTTACATCTCTGAAATTAAAACAGATCATTGCCCGCTTTGTTTATGTATACGAAAACTCACTTCAAGCTTTCAGATCTTATCACTGGTACCATACAAATTCATCTGTTGGTCATTTCAGAACCAGGATCACATTATGATGATCTTTTCCCGAGCAACAACATTACCGTGTTTCTTGTGCAGTCAGTATCCCACAAACACATGAAGCACATGTTGCATGGAATTTCCCAGCTTGCACTGATAACAGAACTGGCTCATTAAGGAACATGCTGGCTCAAGTCTGATGCTGTACTTACCCAGCCTGGGCCATGACCTCAGTTGGGTGTGCTTCTCAGTCATAACTAGGCTCACCACACATTTACATCCTCAGCTTTTTCTGTATTTTACTTTGTTTCTTGCATGGCATTTTCTGCTAAAATCATTATCGTTCTAAAATGCAAACACCAAACTAGCCAGTGAATGAAAAAGCTGACAGTTAAAAATATATATACATACTTGGTATACTTGAAGGTCCTATTCCTGAACTCAGTCATGTGAGAGAGCTTGAGGCTTACTGAGGGTTTCACTGAGGCAGAGGCTTTATGGGAGCACAAGTCTGCTGGACAGATGCCTGAATTGTTTCTTGTGTAGCTGTTCCTACAAACAGCCACTTCACTAAGCCTGATTTACCAGTCTTTARCAAGGCACTTAAGAGTGGAACAGCTATCCATTGTCACATTGAGTATTTTCTTTTGATGTGCACTGACTAAAATGGGCCCTAAAATACCCGCTGGAGGTATCAAAACCTTGGCTAAAAATATTTTCAATTATGAAAACTCTAAAATTAAACAAACAAACAAAATATCTTGTACACTGGAACTACCAGAACACTAAAGAGAAGACAAAATCATTTTTAAAAGCAGCTGAAGCTTAGAAACATATTCATTTAAGTAGGACTGAGCAGCTGTAAACAAAATCAAAACTTGTTCTGATACTTCCTTTCTGTGTGCCTGGCCCATCAGAAAATACTGGCTTCCTTGGCAACTGGGCAAAATAGTTTCAAGTATGGAATGGAAATTTCTGGGCACAGTTTTAGTTGTATTTACATCGCCTTGACAGTTTGGCACAAGACCACACTACTGAGAGATTTATAAAATGAAAGAACTTGCACTGCAAGTCAGATAATCCCAATAAGAGAATCCAATTCTATACTCCAAATCTGCTGAATCCAATTCTATACTACAAATAATGTTTTAAAACAATAAAGCAACTTGGAAGCAGCGCAAGGAGAAGCAGAACAATTCAAAACTAAGGTGCCTCCCTCATTCTTAACTTCCTCTGTTGTCCCAGTAAATTACCACATATACATAAGGTCACTAGCAAATACCAAGACATAGTGCTGCCAAAAAGAGCGTGGTTTTTTAGATAAAAGAATGAAAGAGTGTCTAAGGAAGACTCATTTTGGACACACACTATGAAAGATTTGAATGATTTTTTTCTGCTAGATTTAGTTGTGATTCTGTGAATGTGTTCCTGAAGAGACTAATATAATACTTTGTGTGCCAAATCTTTGCACAGAGTCTCTTGCTATGATCAAATTACAGACTGCAGAAAAACTGTTTATAATGGAAATGCTGACAGAACTGTGCCTATTATGAGAGCTGGTATACCACACATCCTCCCAGAGTAAAACAGTTCAGTTATGCATCCCTGAAAATAACGTGCAATAACAGAAGCTGTGCAGCCGCTGGTATGTTTATGCTCATACAGCAAAACTGAACCACAGCAACAAAAATCGTGATCTGTGAATCATAAAAAAGCAGGCTTCTGCTGATCCAAACCCCTGGTCAAATGTCCTTACTTCTTAAAGCCCTGTAGTGTGGGTGTGCACAACATGGTGCACATGGAACATGGTACAATTAGGAAAAAACAAACACCACCTTTTTTGTCAACYCTCAACTGAATGACAAGTTTTGAATACAAAACTGGACCAGTGACTTCTGAGTGTGCACTGATTAAGGGGCAGTGAGGGGGTGTCTACTTCTTTGTATCTGTACTTGCCTCTTCATTATTCTTGACACCTGTTTCAGGGCCTAAAAACTTAAACAGCACATAGTCCCTTTTTCTGTATGAGCACAACTTTCACTTCATGAATGACAATTTTGTGGAAACATAATCAGGACTCAATTRTTTTATTTCCCAGCTACAACTGTGCTGTATATATTTTTGATCAGTCTTTTGGTATGTTCATGTAGATTCTGKCAAAAATTGGAGCCTACATTGAAAACTTACCAAGAAGCAGTTATAGTTGCATGGAAACTCTGTGTGGTGACTGGATTTTGTTCTCTTCTCAATAGCATTAAGTCTTGTAAAGACTAATACAACTTAATGAAAGACTTGTCAAAGATTGTCTCTTGCCCTGGAAATCCATCCRTTTTTAGAGCTGCACCCAGGGCAGCTTATTAGGAATGTGACAGACATGAGGTTTTTTYTAGAAAGAGGATAAAAGACACCTTTTCCCAACAGAAAGTGAAAGAGAACAAAAAGACATCCCTGAGGCATCCTGCAGAAAAGCGCGGGGGTACCTGTGCCGGGGGTGTGCAGACGCCTCCCCGCAGGGCCTGCCCATCACCAGCTGTCCGGGGACTGACATCCCCACGGGAGGGACTCCACGGCGGCTGTTTTTYCCCCGGGAAAAGCGAGCGGCGCCCCGAGATGCCGCGGGTCCGGCAGCGCCCGGAGCGGGCCGTGCGCCCCGGGAAAGGCGAGCGCGGGGGGAGCAGCGCCCGGAGCGGGACAGCGCTCTCACCTTCGCCGTGCAGCGTCCAGGGCAGATGCGCGTAGTCCCACTGGTAGCCGCAGGCGCTGTCCTCGAAGGTGCACGACCCGGGGAAGAGCAAGGCCGCCCCGGCGAGCCGCAGAGCTGCAAGGACAAAGCGAGCCGCGGTCACGGCGCGCTCGGCCCGAGGGCCGCGGGCTGGGGGCCGCCGCCGCCCCGGAGCTGCGGGTGTGAGGGAGGGAGGGAGGGAGGGAGGGAGGCGGCCCCGGCGGCGCTTACCGTGCGCGGCGAGCAGCCACAGCCGCAGCATCTTCCGCGCCGGAGCTGGGGCTGAGCGCGGCCGCTCGCACCCCCGCGGGGCGCAGGGAGGGCAGCGCGGCCGGGGCGGCAGGGGAGGGACGGGGAGGGCCCCGGACACGGCGGGTGGGCGGCCCGTCCCACTCCCGGCGCCCAGCGGGGTCCGGCCCGGACGGTGGCTGGGGCTGGAGGGCCCTCCAGAGYGGGGGCTGCCGCCTCTGCTCCGGGCAACCTGCCCAAGAGTTATCAGCCCCCGCTCAGCGAAAATGTGGATATCCCCGTGTTTCAGCTTGTGCACAATGCTTTGCTCCTACCACCGGGTACTGTCGCTAGGTGCCACTCCAAGAGCTTGGCTCTGTCTCATGTACTCCCTGTCAGATGTTAGTACACAATAGTGAGATGTCCACTCAAACCCATCTGCTGAGGACAAAGGGGCTTCCACCCTTCCAGAGTTCCTGCGCTACCACAGCTTACTCTCCTGTTCTTCCCAGCCTCTAAACCCGCCCTGCCAGAGGACCATGGCAGGATACCCTTGCGCTTAACAGCCAAGAATGGTCCAGCAGCTGCTGAGATGATGCAAGAGCTGCAGTTCACAGGGTTACAGAATAACTCAGTTACGAATGGACCACAAGAGATGTCCAGTCCAAACCCTGCCAAAAGCAGAGCCAGCTTTGAGCTKAGCTGGGGTTGCTCAGCTGGGGTTTGGTAATCACCAAGGCTGGTGATGGCACAGCGTGCCTGGGCCTCAGCTCCAGTGCTGGGCTGTTCTTGCAGGGAAAATGTTTCTTTTTGTGAATGCTTTGAATTTCCACTGTAGTACTGCCTCTCACTTTCCAACCCTGCACCACTCTGGAGAGTCATGACATTGTATTTCCTCTGTCCCTCTCYTCTCCATATCAGGACTGCTGTTGGGTGTTGTCAAAATCATCTSTCTTTCCAGCTGAACCAGATATGGTCCTGGATCCTCTCCTCACAGGATAGCATCTCCAGCCCCCTGTCTCAGTGGGTCTCCCTCACCTCACATCCAACAAAGAGACTAAAGTCACGTAATTTGTTACATTGCAAATACTGAAATTCTGAATTATTTGTCCATCTGGGCTGAAGATACAGCATACTTGCCACTAGGACTGGTGGCACACAGTAGTATTTAAAATACAGACATTCATTTTAATACCATGATTAATATCAAAGCATTCAGTCAACATGACTACCAGAGATCCCATTTATTACTCTCCAAACCATAAAAGGACTTCCAGCAGGAGGTGGATGCATGCAAATTCATTCTAGGGAAGTGATGTTAACATATTAGGCAAGAAACACAYTTTAATGAATATGTATGATTACAACAGATAAAAACCCTCTTGTAAAGTCTCGCCTCATACACRGAATGAGGAGACATCTTCTGTRTGCCCTGTGCAGSTGAGGAATGCCTGCTTTCTAATGCWTCAAACAGAGYTGGAAAGGTTATTCTGGCCAATTTCAGTATCACTATGAATTAATTTCAGCACTAAGGCAGTTGATCAGCTAAATGTCTCCACCAGGTTTGAAAAATACCTGTTTTTACACAATAGAAAATTGAGTATAGTGCATTATACAGTGTACGTCACTTTTGAAGAGCTGATGCCCCAAATAGCCAACTGATACTGATGACTGACCAATAAAAGCAYTCCCTAAGAACAGCTGGAATAGCTAATGCCCTCAGTTTTTGCCTTGCTGTTGTTCAAGGCATTCCATCTCTTAGCAGAGATGGCTTAGCTGCACATACCCATCACCAAAGTTTACAGCACCAAGTGTTAAACATGATTTTCAAACTGGCACCCCCGATGGCTGCAGCCTCTCAGGAGCCAAGGAAGTAACAGATATGTGTGTGAATAGGAAGACATTACAATTCCTGAACTAATGTAAAACCTCAGAGTGGCCCACTGCACTCTTTTCCAAGAAATGTGTAGAAAACATTTGCCTTAATAAAAAATGTGTAAAAGCATTTTGCACCTTATTAACTCACCCTGTYCTTTCCTGCTGCTGATTTAACTAGATTGTCCTCTTTGTATCAAAGAGTAACATAATAAAGCACATGCTAACCAGGCTATCTCACCAAAAAAAAATCAAATGTCAGAAGTATCATTAATCATTATATTGGAGTATTTGAGAGGTACAAGAGCCTTCTGCCAATGGCAGGGTTCAATTCCATGAGTGCTTGCCCAGTTTGTTCCTGAATGGGTAAGCTGCATTTGTCCTTATTGCCTTTTAAAATAGGAATGCAGAGGTCTAGGATAAGGCAGAAGGCCAATCACACCTCCTGTGGATTCCTATTACTAAGTGAGCTTGCTTTAAGTACACAGTTAATCCCCAGGTTGCCATTTGATTGATATTAATTTGACTTTCATTTTTGCAGATTAACTGCAACACCAGAGAAGCAGATGGCCAATAATTAAAGTCTGAGCTTTTCCAAATTTTCCTGCACAGCTACAGATACTGTCCTCTCCAGTGTTAGCTTTGAAATCCTGGAAAATAKACTTTTTGTAAAAAGAAGTGTATGCTTTGCATGCCCAGGCATATCCAAACTTTCCACTTGTTCTCAGACCCTGGGCTCCAGTACTGTTCTCAGTTGGAAAAGGACATGAAGATTGGAAAAGGAAATGAGGTCTTGCAGTGCCTTTCAGTGTTCAAACTTCAGTCTTCTCATATACATGTGTTAATGTTATTATTTTGTGCCTTATTTSCTTTATTGGTACTATAATCATGCATGACACTTTACAAGTCTACTTAGGCAGATGTCCTGGCGTCTGTTTCATTTTGTGTTTATTTTTCAATAYGAAAAATATAAATAATTTGAGCTGAGGTCATCTAATTTAATTTTGCTTTGGTATATGCATATGTCTTATGYCCTTTGCCCATTGTCTCCTGTGCTTCACAATTCCAGCTGATTCTGATCTTGCCCATGAGCCAGTTTCTGCAGCTGCTGTCTTCTCCATTCTCTGCAAGTATGTCATGCTGTGGGAATACTTCCACTGGTAAGGCAGAAGGTACTAGCCACCAGTGGCTGTGATGGACATTTCTGTTCCCATATGGTTTACCATTTGAGGGTGGGRTAAGAGAAGAAAGATAGCCTTGGGATGAGCAGGAAAAGTTCTGTCAATATTATTTGATTTTTCTGGTTGCTATCACACAGTACTGTTAGCAACAAACTGCAACTGCCAGCTGAAGCACTGGGAAAAGTTCTTCCGCTGCTGCCTACGGCACGAGCCACATGTGTCCAACAGCATGGCAGGTACATCTGTGTGCCTTTGGGGATGGCCCAGAGGGSAATATTTTTCGCATTCTGATGAACTGGTTCTGTATAATGCTTTGGAATGCCCTGCCCTGGACAGCCCAACATGATTTAGTCCTAACAAAGCGCATCTGTTTGTCATGCTGTCCCCAAACATTGTGSCTTGATTCAGTGTATTTACTCTTCTGTGCACTGAAGTTGCATCTGCTAAATGATGCTCTGAAAACCACACATGGACATCCATGGAGCTCTCCACTGCTTCTAGTTTGCTGAGGGCTGGTGACTGATGTCGAGGGTCACCTGACTTTGTCAAAGGAAATAGCAGTCAGTCTGGTGCTGATTCATCCATGGAGGCTCAGTGAAGGGAATCCTGCTGTGCCTGAGCTTGGCAAGGCTGGGTGTTGCTGAGKCTGTGATACAGAACCACAACAACAGACAGGACGGTGTTGATCTGTTTTACATGTCAAGTCAGTATTTGCTGTGTATATGTACAGATATGAGATGCCTGTAYATCTGTAAGTATATTGTGCTTCCAGATGAGAATTTACTTAGTGACTGAATTGAGAAATCCTTAAAAAAAAAATCATTCTGCAATATGCAGGCTACTCATAGTAGGGAAAAGACCAGGAGGCCAATCTCAGAAAAGTGAAAGCTGGACATGAAGTCACAGCTCAGTGAATCTGAGGCTTTGTGAGGGGCAACAAAAAGACTACAGGACCTCTCTCTTACATTAAAACTATTCTCTTACATTAAAAGTATCAGGCTTCTTTTTATAATGATTATGTAATTTTAATATTAGTATATTTTTCAGACCTGGTTTAACTTCCTGCAAAGCCAGCTGCTTGAACAAAGTGGGCTCTTGCTGTACATCATTGTGGTTTCATGAAGAAGAGTAAAAAGAACAGTCAAAAATGACACCTGCATGTGAAATTATAAACAAATTAAATTTCAGTGATCTGTTGCTTCATTTGCAAAAACTCTGCTGGCACCAGCAAACGGCAACTTCCTCTTTCAATAAACAAAACATCATTCAGGTGCTGGAGAAATAAATAGCACAAAATGCTGTTTAACAGCTAATAAATGTTTTTCAACAGCTATCAGATCTGAGTTCTATGATTTAAAAGAAAACAAACAAACAGACAGCKAGCAGATTACTGGAAATGGATAATTCACCATCCATGAAGGAATTTAAAAGACATATAGATGTGGCTCTTAGGGACATGGTTCTGTCAAGGAACTGGCAGAGTTGYTAGGTTAATGGCTGGATGATCATAAAGGTCTTTTCCAACTGAAACAATTCTATTACACTGTGATTCTGTGATTGGACTGTAAGGTACCTAAACATTGGCTACAAGGCTGAGTATGGACCTGCTGGGTATCCAGACCACTGGATATTGCTTTTAGCTGAAAATTCTGTCCTCTTCAGTCAACAGAGGGTATGCAAGTCCCWTTGATTTTGCAGTTGATGTAAGTGGTCAGGAGTGTCAAGGGGACACGCATGCTTGATCCACCCTCGGGAATGCAGTTCTGGAAGAGACCCTTCCACACCCTCACATCAGCCTTGTGAGCCTTGGTCAGCCCTGGTCAGCCTTGCAGAGAAAAGGAAGCCAGTAGGCAGGAGATGGAAGAGCACCATCCTTGGCAAAGCAGGAGAGCAAAAGTGAGATTGGCAATCTCATAGTCGTGAAAACTGCAGATTTAAAAGTAGCAGTAAAAAGTAGCCTTTCCACATGCATGCATGTAAGGCAGTTTCTTGGCATAAATCCAAGCTGCAGCACCTTGCTTCACTAGCAAGAGACAGGAACTACCAC